ATTCAAACGTCAACCGTCATAATTAGTGTGTCTTGCCTGCTTCTCAGACTATGCATATTGAAAGATCGACTTTAAGTTTGTTACAGCAGCTCCACTGATATAAACTTACTTCAGTTAGATCAAGAAACGCGTTTTTCATATCCACCATCCATTGGTCGTCGGCGCTTCCAGTAAATCCATGAATAATATATTTGGTGTCGTCGTTGGTGTTGAAATTAGAACTTGAAAGAGAAGATGGATCATTGGCACTGACTACATCGTAATTTAAACGGTTGCTTTTTGTGTAAAGTCTATATTCCACGCACGAACCTACGGGAAGGAATGCAAATTATTACAGCTGCTTGTCTCAGATTTATGAAGGAAATCACCAAATAATGACGTTTTCAACTGCTTAAACAGACCTGCTGGGAATAGCTGTGGAACCATAGCTTTTCTTGTGTTGGTTTTTAGTCTTTGTGATGATATTTTAGTCATTCCTGTATTTAACTGATAACATAAATATTTTTTACATTGGGCGTGACTGGCGGGGTGCCGACAAAGGTCGCAATGAAAGTGAGCACATTTTATTTTCTGCTGCCAGTCGCAGTGCCGACAAACCAGCGACAGGTAGGTAATAAATTCGCCCAATAAATCACATCTAGCCATATTGTCTTAGTGTATCTGTACGTATGGCATGTGATCTCGTCTGTCTTACAAATACAAAGCACAAGGGCTTGCAATACTGCGGCGGGCTGACGCGTGCTGCGGTCGTTACATAATGAACTGTTACAGAATGAAATGTACGTAAACACAGAACCGAAAACGAAGAAAATTACACTTTTCATAAACAAACTATTTTTCGATCTTGATAAGTTACTGACCCCCTAAGTACATTTACAACTGCCCAGTACCTCGAATATAGCGTCTGTTGGATTTGTCAGTATCCACGTGACTTTCGGGGTCGACACGTCTTAGTCTTCTACAGCACAAACTACACATAGTGCACGATGTTTTGAGCAGAATGGCAATCAGTTCAGCCATCATAGAAGTAGAGTCATTTCTGCCATCCAGTGTGTTGTTTATTTTCACCGAATAAAATTGCACAAATGCAGTTTTCAACGTCTTTTTGATGTCAAATTTGTCATCTCTATTTCGAACTTATGTTTTCTGACCAATATGTTAAAAGCTAAAACATACCAGTAATGTTAGGAATACAATTATTACTACCTTAATTCGACTGTGAATCAGAAATAGGAACTATTCCCTCATATAAACTGTTATTTTTTGCAGGGAAAATCTTACTTCTATAACGTGTCAGTTCAGATATGGGACCAAGTTCAAATAATGCCATTTATTGTTATGTCCACTTCAGCAACCCCTTATGTCTTAATATTACGGTGTAGAGTTAAAAACTATATCTAAGTTATAAATAAGATAAACATTTGCACTCAATAGAACGTCAATCAGTTCTTCGACTGTGTTATGCAAATGTATAACACCTCGACCTTTTCCCGTGATGCAATGCTCTAAACACAGTGAAAACATTCCAAAGACGAGCGCGTTTGTATTATTCAAGGTACTGAGAATTGAGTGCACCCGATGTGTCTCATTAAAGATAACATTTTACCACCTACATTTTTTATATTTTCTCTTAGTACTATAATAAATTTCTGAAAATTATATTTCGTATAAGATTACTGTCTACCTAAGTCCTTATGTTAATCCTAAATCGTGTTTTCTAAACCTCTAAACCACTATTGCATTTACTTTTATTTGTCATTTGAACCAAATTGTCTTGTTTTATCGTGGCCCTAGATATGCCAATGAATAATAATTAGTAACGTTTTGTAACAAGGACATTGCACAAGTGTCTGGTATATTGGTTTGCCTAGTATAAAACAACTTGAACACTTGAACAATTTCCAGAAAATGGAATAGTCATTCGTGAATACGGTGACAAACATTTACGTACTATACGTACTTGGAAAACAATTAAATGCGTTATTTTTAGAAAGGACGTAGGTGGCTTGCGGAAGAGAGGAAGGCACCCGACAAGACGGGAGGAGGCAGTTGAGAGGGACGCGAGGTCAGCTGGAGTTTCTGGTGACATCTGCCCCCTTGCTGCAGACTTACAAGAATGGCGAAACGAGGTCGCACTAGTGGCGATGTAATCGCCTTGGTTGCGAAAAAAAAAATTAGAAGCCGTGTACGACGTAGTTGACATTACATTATGTTAATCTAAAGTTTTCATTTCAATCGATAACTCCCCAGCAAGAAACTCAAGTCAAGACCTGATTGAATTGTAATGGCTTTTTGTTCCAGGCAGAGGTTTGTAAGAAAAGTAAGAAGGGGTATGCACGAGGTGGGTTTGCTGTCAGTGACATCATACAAGACAGACAAACGTGTTTGATTGTCTTACTCATTTTAGTTATTTCTAGGCCTATAATAACACATGTTAAATCATATCAATGCTTGAATAATCCGTTATATCGATGTTTTGGGGCTTGACAAATTCTTTTAGTGATTTTTGAGGATTCAACAATTCAAAGGATGATGATTAGTACATTACCTATGGATATGAGGGCGGCAAACACGAGACACACTGCGGACTTCATCGCTGATCTGTGAGTGAGGATATAGTTATCTATTGAAAAATAAATTGAATGATATATATAAGTATGGAAATCAAGTTGGTAACGGACAATCACCGTTTATATTAAAATAGAAAAGAGAATAGAATTTTGAGATAATGATTTAGTTAATAGTTCTCTTGATGTACAATACTTGCCTGTTGTCTGTTGACGGTCTGCAATAACGATGAAACGTAGATTTCGATCGTCATTATATAGTTTGTGCTATCACGTGACTAGAGCTTGGTATGGGATAATTGACGTTTGTTTTTGTCATGTAATATGATGAAATGCTGTTTTTTTATCACCGCTTATCTGTGTATATCTGATGAATGCAGTAAGTTTTATAGGTCATATTCGTGTAAATAGGTCATATGCGTGTCGATGTTTTTCTAGATTACTAGTACCTTGATTCTGTACCGCTCACTTGGAGAATTACTCGCCATTTTCGTGGATGTTTTATGACAAATCGGAAGCAGTCTTTTTATCTTTTGAATAGGAAAATACATCGGTAATGCAAAGATACTGACTAATAGTTTTTGCATAAGAACTTTCTTCTTATTCTTATTAATTAGCATACTTCAAAGGGCCCATAAAATACATTTTGTTCCATACAGTTGACTATTTCAATGTATTGCTCGTTGGCTGCACCTGATTGCAGACAACCCATGTATAGCATGTAATACGGCCCAGTGTATTTCACAAATACTTCAAGTCACCTCACTTTTCAAATGACGAACCACGTATATAGTAGTATTTATGTGGTATCAATATTTCTTAGTAATTCACATTTAAAACAAATATGTTGACCAACATTGCGGTGGAAAAAATACAATGACCTGGAGTAATTTCTCACATTTTACACAATAGTGTATGAAGGATAATGGACACTCGAAATATCGGAGCTCTACAATAAAAATATAATATAAATGTTCAACTAGCCATTTCTTACCTTGAAATAAAAAAAAAAAATTCGAAGAGCATCGGGGAAAATATTAATAATCATTCTTATCAATCGCTTGCTTTATTTTTTTTTTTTACATTTGTTGGCAACTTCCGCGCTAAAAAAGATGGAAAATACGAGTGTGGTTCTTTTGCGAGGTCCTGTTGATAATACGGACAAATCCAATCTCCGGCGTCGATTCACATAGTGTTTTTGTGCTGTGATAGGCTTCAAAATTATTCACTGAAAAACATCGGTATATTTTGACAAACGGATGGAATTTGACCTCAGTTCAAAAAGAAAATACTAGGCTGAGATACATTAGAGACCACGCGAATCAGTTTTCTCTGCAAGTTGTGAAATAAAGTAAACCAGGGTATGGTCGATGATTTTCAGCCCTGAAGGACTTCCGTGTGAATCCTGAGTTTCGAATTGTTCATCGACTGGCCACCAAATATTTATGGTATAACTAAATTTGACACGTTTTTTTTAAGCCCAATAAATTATTCATACAAGCTCAAGCTCTGTTCGATTTTTTCAGGGCATGTGGCCGTTTTAGTCGAAAATATTTTTTGTGAGAACACTTTTACGGTACCTATAACGGTATAGACCGAACTCATTCAATGATCGTGACTTAATTTTAAAAATTGAATGTTAAATTTTACCAGACCGACCGCCTGTGGACCGACGTGGATTTGGTATCGTTATTTTTGGAATTAATCATTAACATTTCAACAACAACAACAACAACAACTATTACTAGTACTACTAGACATTCTTATTAGTTTAAACAAACGTGCATATATAATTAGTATTTATTTAATCTCCTCAAATCCTTGTAGATGTAGATTAACATCCAGTGAGAATCCATGTTTTGCCTTTAACTTGAAAGTCACCACATCGTTAACTTTTATTGTCTAATATTGTTTAAGGGTGCTTCTGTATGTATAATATCAACAAAAATGTTACTATTTTTTATTCGGGGGGAATTATCAACAATGATAATCATGTCAGGAACACGTGTATGGAATTTGAATAATCAGGAGTGAAAGTCAAAAAGCGCTGTTATTTAAATTTTGTCTCTCACCAATGTCCCCAATCTATGGAGTTAGCTCAGAGACCATACATCAAGTCAGCTAGTAATATTAGTATTTTAAAAAAAATGTAGTTTTAAATAGTTAAATTTCACTGTACAAATTTGTTTTCAGAACAAAGTATAGAAATGAAATTAAAGAGAACATTTAAAACAAACATTGTGACCAATATTGGATAACGGGCTAAAATACGGGGCTCTTGCAATAATCCCGTTAGAAATATTGTCGGGAATAATTTGCCTTTAACTGTGTGTCATAAAATAGTACATATCAAAAAGAAAATCACATGATGGTGCATTTAATGGATTTAAACATTTGAGCAAAAATGTAGGGCTGTTATAGTCGCGTGAGCAGAATCTGACTACATGTGGGCATTCCCACCCTAAAAACAAATATAAACTGATAAATTAATTAATAAATAAATAATGGGCATTAATTTTATAGATAAGTTAAATATATGTGATGTATTGAGTACACTGCCTCGTTATGTGGTTAGATAATAACTGTATTATACAGTATATATTCTGTTCATTGTCAGTACAGGTGACCTTTTGGAGCAGTTTTTCATAATATATTTCATAATATTTATAATTTTTAATTGTTTATAGTCATAAATATTTGGTGGCCAGTTGATGAACAATTCGAAACTCAGGATTCACACGGAAGTCCTCCAGGGCTGAAAATCATCGACCCTACTCTGGTTTACTTTATTTCCCAACTTGCAGAGAAAACTGATTTGCCATGGACTCTAATGTATCTCGGCCTAGTATTTTCTTTTTTAACTGAGGTCAAATTCAATCCGTTTGGCAAAATATACCGATGTTACTCAGCTAATAATTTTGAAGCCTGTCACAGCACAAAAACACTATGTGAATCGACGCCGGAAATTGGATGGTACGACGACCCTTCACTTAGCGTCAAATATGCTTTGTTACAACATCATTGTGATTGGCTGAAAGTCACATGATCGGAGCACGACCTGGGTCACAGAACCATATTTGTCCGTATTATCAACATGACCTCGCAAAAGAACCACACCCACATTTTCAATCTTTTTTAGCGCGGAAGTTGCCAACAAATGTCAAAAAACTCGAGAATTTCATGGATTTGAATAAAATAACGCAAGCGATTGATAGGGAAATGATTATTAATATTTTCCCCGATTCTCTTCGAATTTTTATTTTTGTATT